ACTTTGCCACAGTTTCTACTACGCTGATCCTGTCTACCCAGGATAAAATATGTCGTGTTATGCTTTACGTTCCGTGGAGCGTCTCGTTATACTGAAATTTGCATACAAACGCGTTCCTGAAACCACATCTAACTGGCGTGACGTCGCAAATAATGCTCGTTCCAGACTTCTATTTTCTATTTATTTATTAACTTAACAATCGCGCGATTGATGGAAAGGACAACAGAACTATTTGTTCCTTATTAAGTCCCACCAAAAAATTTACAAAAATTACACTAAACATATAACAATACATAAAATTACAATTACATGAACTATGACTATACATTCCTACATATTTACGAACAACAGTTTGTTTGCAACGAACGGCACTTGCTACACAGAGTTTTTCACGCTCTAGGTCTATCTACATCCAAGACAGTGTTCAGTTTATTGGTATGAATATATATATATAGTTCAGTCTTAAGGATAGCGACTGAAGAGGACGTTTTTATACCAGAAGGTAAATTATTCCATAAAAACACAATTCTATTAAAATACAAGTCTCTAAAGAGAGAAGTTTTACACAAATTTGGACGAAGAAAATCGCCAGAACTGGAACGGATTGAGTGATGAAGAGGTTGGTTAATGAATTGATTAGTGTCAAGTTCGTACATCCCAGATTTGCATTTATAGAAGAAAATGATGTCTTTAATTTCATGCCAGTAAGATAGAGGAATTAGATTGAGTTTTTTCAAACGATCAGGATAGGAAGACTCATAATCTTTGAGAATGAATTTCGTAGCTCGACGTTGAATACCCTCGAGACGAAGCAAATCAGCAGAAGGTCCTTGAGGGGCCCAGATCTAGATTTCACATCCAAATGACAAGTGAGAACGAACCAGAGACAGATATAGAAGGCGACGAGCGTTCACATCAGTGAGGTGGAAACAATTTCTTCGTAGAAACCCAAGCAATCTGTCAGCTTTAGCGACTATATTGATGACATGAGAAGACCATTTCAAATCGTTGCTAACCAAGATACCCAAATCATTCTGAGTCGCGGCAAACTTAATTGGTTTTTGATTTAAGACATTACCTTGGGTTGGAGCAGAGGTTTTTCTCCGTGAAAATCGGAGAGCGACACATTTCTTGGTATTAAAATTTAGATCCCATGTGGATGGCCAATGATGGAGGGAATCCAGGTTGGATTCAAGTAGATTTCTATCAAGTGGCTGGGTTATTTGACGGTAACATTTACTGTCATCAGCAAATATAGGGACCGTGCTGTGCTTAGCTGCGTTTGGAAGATTGTTTTCAAAGATCAAGAATAGAAAAGGGCCAAGTATACTCCCTTATGGAACGCCTGACGTTGCGTAAAGAAAGGAGGAATGGTGGATGATATTCCGTCAACTACCACTCGTTCTCGCCTTTCATTCAAGTAATCCGTGAACCACTTCAACAATGTACCCGAAATGCCGTGTTGTTCGAGTTTAAAAAGAAGCATTGAATGGGAAACGGAGTCAAAGGCTTTCGAGAAGTCTAAATATATAAATCATGTCAGCTTCTTTTCAGGAATCTAAAGCCATGCCAACGTCGTGAAAAACGCGAAGAAGTTGAGTGGTACAAGATCGTTTTCTGCGAAAACCATGTTGTAAGTCACTTAGCGAGGATTGAACAAACTCAGACACGTGAATATGAACGACTTGTTCCAGAAGTTTGAAGACTAAGGACAGCAAGGAAATCGGTCGGTAATTGCTGATTTCATGAATGTCACCTTTCTTAGGAACCGGAACTACGTTAGCTTCTTTCCATTCCTGAGGAACTTTACCGAGAGAAAGGGACTTGTTGAATAGCGCCGTTAAAGACGGAGCAATTTCGTTCGAACATTCTTTCAACAATCTGGCAGATATTCCATCAGGTCCAGTGACTTAAATTTAGCAGTTAGATATTCCGACGGTCATGTGCCAAGTAAAATCGCAATATCAGCGAGTTCAAGTGTCTCTAAAATTTTTGTTTTTTAATTGACCTAAAGCAAGAATTTTTTCACGAAACTACTACACTCGTAGCATAATTTTAATAAGCTGAAAATCAATTTTGGGGTTACGGGCACTTTAAGATATTTAAAGTGGCACTCGCGTGAAAATTTTTATTTTCTTAAGCGAAAATGCTCTTAAAACGGTATAGTAACTTGTTTCGAAGATTTTTATTCCCATGCTTAGTTCTTGAGACATTTTATTTTGTTTGTAACCATGTGACGTCATTCACTCAATTGCATATATAATGAATATCAGCAATTGTTGTGTATCTTTGCTATTTTTGATGGATTTGTTTAAAAAAACAGTATACTTAATGATGTAGGTTAAATTAACAAACGAGCCGCATATTTGGAAATATTTTGACAAAAAGTAGCAAAGATACACATCAATTACTGATGCAGTGGAACCCCTATAGCTATAAGCGGACACCTCTCTTAATAAATTAAGCGCACACCTCTTTTAAGCGGAAACATATTTCAGGTTACATTCGTTTTCTGTTACTATACCATACTATTATCATAATTCCTATTAAGCGGACACCCCCTCTTTAAAGCCGGTTTTCCACTAGGCGGAATTTTGCGCGCGGAGCGGACTTTTTCTTTGTCTTGTGATTTCTCGGGTGGAACTAATTAGAAAGACAAAGAAAAATTCCGCTCCGCGCGCAATATTCCGCCTAATGAAAACCGGCTTAACGGATGCTGACACGTTACTTGGTCTCAATGGGCAAATCAACCTCTCTTAGGCGGACACATGACAGATTGTCTGCTAAAATGTATGCGATATTCGACAGTAAATAACAATTGAGATCAATTTACATGGAACATTGACAGTGACACACCAACTTCGTGCGAACAGCGAAGGAACCGAAAAATATATGTGAGATAACTGATGAAGACAACGAACTGAACAAAGATTATGGACTTGACCGGTCTCGGCTTAATGAACCAGCCATTAGATTTCCTCCGAAGCCTTTAAAGTTGTCGAGCAGCCGGCAGAATTCTCACAATTTCGAGGTTCCGCAGAACTTCCCAACGCCATTTTTAATGTAAATAACATTTTAATGGACTATCGTCTGCGTGAGCCTCGAAAGCAAACTTGTATTGATTCCTTTTTTATATGACTGATACACATATTCTAATGAACTTTTATGTACAAAGAACGGTTTTGAAATGAACTTTCATGCTAATTATTTTCCAGATATTTTTTTTACTGTTTTGCATGATACTCAAATTACACACCCATTTGAAACGTATAGCTTCGCACGCATCTTCTAATGAGTTTTACATCGTTTTGAACACGAAATAATAGGGAGTTTACGCATGTAACGGACGGCAACGTCAGGACGACGGCTATCAATACAATATCATTAATCCTATAGCACAAAAGAAATGAATAATTAAAAGTATATCTGGAGTTTCAGACGTCGTCCGTGGTCTGTTGACGACGTCAAAATGCATATTTTCACGTCTTGTAAAGTACGGTAGCATTTCAAGCCATGGCATGCAGGCGATTTTTCTAACAGCGCTAGCTTTGATCAAAATTGCTCTGAAGGATAAAGCTCTGTTTTACTCGTTCTAAACTGTATTAAATTCATAAGAAAGTAAATACAGGACAACATTTTCATACAATCAATTATTTCAAAAAGTTTGTTTAGCCTCGTCCTGACACCGCCGTTGTACATGCGTAAACTCCCTAATGCGCCTTAATTAATTAAGGAGGTCATATTGATGTGACCTAATTAATTATTCACAGGCAATTTTCAGAAGGAAGAGATGGCATTAATAACTAATTTCTTTTATTCCTACCAAAGGGCGGCGATGAATTTGGCGTGGTACTCTCAACTGAAAGGCAAGAAAGAAGCTAATGTATTCTTTGCGCCAAATTGAGCCTTTTCTTTGGAATATAAAGCCAACTTTCAAGATCTCTTTTTCGATAATATTATTACCGGCTGACAAAATGAGAACACCTATCTTCCGTATATACTAGAGTGCTCAATACTATGCATGAGGTAAAGCGTGTATAACTTATCGTTGAGAAATTGAGATGGTAAAAATTAAATCTGTCACCCAAGTTTCACGCTCAGTTGTGGCTGGCGATCATGAGAATAAAAATTATGTATTGCTACTGATCATTTATTTTGGTTGAAACATACTGTAGTTTGCTTGAAGTTAGTTACTTGTAACAACTTCAATATTTGGTAAATTATTTTCTGGTTAATTTACTCTTCTCTATATTTGGAAACTCTTATCAGTCAGGCAAAACTAATCGAGTGAACCTATAGAAATGTTAATTATTAAAGAGGCCATTTTTCGAGAACAATGTACATAACGCCATCCTTATATGTTGTATTAGCATTCCTCCATTTAAAATTGACCAGAACTCCGGAATATGTGTAAATAAATTATTCATAAAACAGCGAATAAAAGCAGGCCAATAACATCCTTGCTTCATAAAGTTATGCCTGACGCTAGAACCACGATCTGGACCTGAAGATCCGTAATTTTTCCCAAATAAAGGTATGGGAAGTTTAAATTAGAATGTATCTTCACTTTAAAGCAGTTAAGTTTAAAACAATTAATATCTTATTCCATAAAATCCCGCATTTATTTAAGGCAAATTTCGGTCGCCGTCTCGCTAATATGATAGCGATTTCAAGCATGTAGGCTGGGAAGCCATGTACGGCGATAGCAAACGAACTCATTGAACTAAATGATTGTGGAAGAAATATTGTCGTCTATTATCCATCGTATGAAAAATAATAGAGTTTAATTAAGAATTGAGGTTAGCAGAGGTTTAATGATTGAGTAAAGTTCTACAACCCAATGAAGTTTTCTAGCTTGAAATGCATACGCGTTGTATAGAAGACGTAATTTGCCGTTGTAAATTGAACGACCACTACGTCTGAAACTTCCGTGGAATTTTAATTATTCATTTCTGTTCATTCTCTTGTATTATTATTTAATAAGATATTATTAGCCGTCTGACCGTGTAGCTCAGGTGGTAGAGCGTCGATCTAGTAATTCGAAGGTCGCGGACTCGCGGGTTCAAGACCCAGCGCGGCAGGCAATATCGTTCTGCTTGCGCGCGGTCTGGAAATTATGAAATACACACTCGAGAACATTTTCAACTTAAAGGTATAATATTGAAAGGCATTTCTTGGCGCGTTCCCGTGTTAGATTTAGCCTAGCTTAAGTTCGGCGGATCATGCAGAAGAGCGGCGGGATTTATTTACGGGTGCAACAGAAGAAGCGATTGAAGCTCTGCAAAACCTGTCCTATTATGTGAACTTGGAGTGACATTGATTTTATTTCCAGCCTATGCGCCGGTCCTAATTTAAAATCTACACTTAGTCATATTTTGCATTTGAATTTTGAAGGCGCAGCAACCGCAATTTTTTCCAGTGTAACCTGATATTCTACACCGTTTGAGTCGATGTTGCATGCTCTTTTATATAATAACCTTAAAAATTCATGCGATTTCATTGGTCGAGAGCCATGATCTATTAGAGGACAGACGCATGGAATTACGTCATTAGTTTTTAAAATGTCGAAAATATTTGAAAATTCCACTGAATTTATACAAATTGAATGAATTCATGCAATTAAATTTATAAACATCAATAAATACCTTCGATTTTGACCTTGTCAATGTCACCTTTTCCAGTTGGCTTCTTCATGCACTTCGTGCAACATAGGCAATGTTTAAGTGCTTTTTAATCACCATAGTCGCTCAAAACAAAATATTGCCGTTTTATTACACGTTTTTATTTCTTTATAACAATGTTTTTTCACTGTTTTTGATGAATTTTTAGTTTTTCCTTATTTATTACCGTCTAGCGCATTCTAGCCTTAGCCAATCAGAATTCAGCACGTGACTTAAGCGAGCCAATGGCATTTCGTTATTTGTATAGATCTTGAACGCGTGATATTTGCAAAATTTCGACTTCCAAATGTTTGGGGGAATAAAAATAAACTATTTACCTGTTTAATTCAATTTTATTATATAAAACAAATAGATTACATTTTCCCGTTGTCCGTTCAGTTATAGATATATTCACAGTATGACGTCATATGTATTAAGAACAAAAAGTGACCACTCGCCTAGGCGGCTCGTGAACAATTTTTTTGTTCTTACCACATATGACGTCATACTGTGTATCTATAACTGAACAGACAATGGTTAAATGTAATCTATTTGTTAAATATTATACCAGCTAAACTGTACACCAACGTTGCAAACCAAAACAAACGTGCTTAAATGAATCCGTATATGTGTGGGCGTATAACTGCTAGGATTCACTGGTTTACGATCACTTGCAATAGTATATCTTTTCCTAATAAATATTCACAAAATAATGGAATAAGGTTGAATGTTCGTTTCCATGTACGTATGGATCCTTTTGTTTGTGTATAGCCATTTCTAGCGATAGTTATTATTGGTAACATCTTACTATTATAGATTTTTATTGTACATTGTGAAGGATGACATTGTTTTGGGCCTTCCTTCTTGGAATACTGGTAAGTTTTTAAGGAATTTTTTAAGAGAAATACTGATTTGCTTCCGAAATACTGATTTACTTCCGAATAATTAATTTGTAGAATTTGTAGTAGCCTATTACTATACGCTTAATTTATAGTACTATTAATTAAAGGATGCAAGTCTTATGTGTGTATTGCAGGGATACCATCTGCTCGCGCGCTTTTCCCTCTATCGTTGCATTTTACACTTTATTGCATCAATATGTATGTGTTACAAATTATCCCTATAGTTAGCTGCCGAACATGGTTTTCGAACCTCTCCCCATCTTATGCTCTCATTACTATCCATGGTCAAGATTTCGACGTAGGTTCTGAAGCAAAATTGTTGGCAGTTATTAGTATTATTATAATTATTGTAGGATACACATTTAGAGCTTGTACAGCTAAATTACAATATGCTTCACGGTGATAAATTTAAATGTTTATCATTTGTCGCAAGACTATATACTGTAAAAGGGGCAGTGGCAGAAATCTCAGTGGGGCGGGAGGGGGGGAGGGCGACCGACCCAACACTTTCACGCAAAATTGCCGAATTTTCGAAAATTTTGACCTACTAGTAAAAGAAGGCTAAAAACAGCCTTTTCGAGTGCACTAGTGGGGGGGGGTTGTCGGAAATTTGAAAGTTTTGTCGGAAATTTGGGAGGCTTCTCCCCCCCCCTTAGGAAGGAATTGCTATAGAGAGTTTAGTGGAAGAGGTGCTGGGAAAGATGCAGTAGGCATCATCATGCTTTACATATGTCATTGGCAGTGTGTTCAGTGTACAAGTGTATTAACATCGGACATTGTTAATTGTTTGTATATATAGGTCTTATGCTTTCATTGCATGAGTCGTATCAAAATATACATATTTCCGTTTTTAGAATCGGTGCAAAAGAGGATATAATAGTAAATAAAGCAACACATTTTCCTGCCAAAGTTTTACGAACTTTGTCGGTTAATTAATCAACACAAATATTCAGGAACAGTACTATAATCTATTGTAATCTGGATATAAACTGCAGAGTGACTTGTCGCACGGCATTTTACGACATGATATTACTTATATTTGCATATTCATATATTTTGTAAATTATATACAAATAAATGCATGGCATAATGACAAACATAACAGACAAATTTCCTACCGTATAATTTTATAACATTCCACCCGCCATAGTTTTTAAGTAAGTTATAATAAAATAAATGGAAGCGAACAGTACCGCGGATAAAAAACGCGGGTTGCGGCC